GTAACATTGTATATCTCATTGAAAAAAAAAGGTTTGAAGAATTCTGTATTTAGAGTACTTTTGCAAACACTTGTTATCCACATAGTGATTAGCAGTGTAGTTACATGCATTTATAAAGCACTGCATGCTCTCCCCAAAGGCAAAAATGAGATTAAAATGCTAAGAAACAAGTTTACCAAAATGAAATCTACTGCTTTCAATATCATACTTGCATAACTGCAAACACAGCATACACATGTATGTTCTCCTAGCATAACATAGAGAAACAATAAAGTAGAATATGTCTATTTGCAGTGTAATATAATGAGCTGAATGGTCACATAATTACAGTCCAAACACATGCTGCAGTGCTAAAAAGAAAGAAAGAAGAAAAACAGCAGGAGTTCAGTCTTTTTTGATGCTAATAACCCATAGCTAATGGCTTCCAGCAGAGTACTGCACCTTCACCTTAGAAAAATCACTCCATTGCATCATGAATTTTTGATATGAACTGGCCTTAAGAAACACGATGGCAAAAACGACAAAAGGAGAAATATAGACACGCATAGACATGTTTGAATGAGTACAGACATTAACATAATAAGGGAACGAAGAGGGCTGGATTTAATTTCAGTATCTGACAGGTAGGGTGTAGATAACAGTTAGTGAAAGTTAAAAATTGGTAGTGATCACACACTTTGTAGAGTTCTGATTCAGCCATCAAAATGAGTGGAGGGAGCGTGGGAATCAACTGTTCTTGGTAATGATGTATGTTATAGAGGTGACTTGGATAATTACATTAGTGAAAGTGGCTGCTGCAGCAGTGGAGGCCACAGAGGTTGTTAGCACATCATCACGGCCAGCAGTGGGCGTGTAGGTAGAGACATGGCTCAGAGTGGGCGATGGCGTGGGTGAGGCGACAGGCGAGTCCAGGCTACAGATCTGCAGCTCGTCCAGCAGACCGACCGTGGATGTCGAGTAGTGGCTGAGAGCTGACACGGTAACGGGGGAAGCCGAGGGCGAGGCACAGCTCACACTGCTGACTGCGCCGTGGCTTGGCCCGCTGGCCGCACCAGCTGTGCCACCAGCTCCACTTGGGACATACGGAGTGGGTGATAGTGCCTTGGGCATTAGACCTGACAGGTAGTCAAGTGACTCTGAGCTGTGGTAGCGATAGGGGGAGTGCCGTGCTGTGGGGTCAGGCGAGGGAGGCCCCTGAGGTTGGAATAAAAGGTAATTCATTGGAAAAGGAGGAAAGGAGGAGAGTGCTTAGTGATATAATTTATTAGACATGGTGTCAAAAGGGATGTGTAAAAATAACATGTGACAACAGGTGAATTACTGTTGTGAAACCACACTGTGTCATAAAGCTGCAGCACCCTCTTCTGAACGCATTAATGCTGGAAACTGAAGATGTTTTGTTAATTCACACTTTGCAGAAAAAGCACCAGATTACATGGTAATTAACTGTGGTGTACAACATATTATACACTTGGTTAAAATGCAGTACAAGTTCACACAAATGTAGAATCACTGTTTGGTTCAGTGGAAGGTATTATCAAGAACAAGAATGAACTAAAGGGCAACACACACAAGTAGGAGACATGCATTAAAACCCCTACGGTATATCTGCTTTAACAGAATGCCACAGTCAGACTCAACATATAAGAAAAGAAGCTAGTTTAGAATTTGGGCCATCACTGTAATAGTAGCTTGACTACTTCTGTTATTTCTGGGGACCTACTGCAACCAAGTGACATGATGCAGTTGGTGTGTTACCCTTTAATCAGTCTTGATGTCACCAAGACATAAACCCAGTGTCTGGATTAAAGTGACCTTAAATGAACACAACTGTGTATTTTGCTCTGCTGTACCGGTCTGTAGTCAGTTATGTACCAACAGTTTTGCAGGAGAAGGCCTTGGTGGAATTGCAGGAGGAGGCTTCGTCATCTCCACCTGGGATGGAGCTGGAGCTGCCATTTGATCTGAGACCTCGAGTTCCACTTTGGAGTTTGTCTTAGATGAAGCAGGATTTTTTTTATTCTCTTTGTCCAAGCGGACAGAAATGGAAGCTGTCTGTGTCACGGGTTGAGATAGGATGGGACTTCTTTGTGGAGGTGAGGAAGTGAGTGGAGGGGACCCTGTGGTTTGGGTCTTATGTTGGGGATCAACACAAGAATTGAGGTGTGCAGGAGGATCAGGGATGGTGACAGGAGTTAGTGTAAGGGAAGACACCTTACGTTCTTTTGTATTAGCATTGCTTGTGTCATTCGAGACAACGGACTCATTCAGCTGCTGGACTGTGTTTGCACTGGTTTCTGAGTATGAGTAGGATGATGTGCTTCTTACAGTGTAGGACTCTTTCAAGACTGCTTGCTCATTTTTAGTGATTGTTAGCATTCCAGGACTCAAATCATTAGCCAGGCCAATACGGGAACTGTAATTTTGAGGATTAGTGCCTGCAGGCGAGAAGTGAAAACTCTCTTTTCTGGGGGGTGGCAATGGCAATGGACTGATATCCTTGTTAGCCAATTAGAAAGTGGCAACCAATGTAAGTTCAAACAGCAAAAAAGAAAAACAAAACAGAAAAAAAAAATCATCAGCACAAAGCATGAGATCAGAAAGTTTAAAATACTTGTTTTAGAATACAGCAACAATATATGTATATTATCCAAATTCCTAATGACATTAAAAATAACTTTTTTCCCCACTCAGACACTCAAAAGCCAACAGAAGCACATCACATCATGAAATTACACTTGTAATTAAATTTTAAATAGCAACAACAGAAATAAATGCGTGAGTGTCTGTCAGTGTACTGTGAATGATGTTTCACCTGTGAGGGGGACTTTTTGTCCTGCAGATTGGGTCTGACGCTGCGAAAGCCTTTGGCAGCAAGCGATGAGCTGCTAGCATCTCCGTTTTTAAGGCCGTCTGTTGCGCTGTGTGACCGCCAAGAATCTGAAGATAAATTTAGTAATTTTACCATTACTAATGTTTTCTGACCAAGTTTGCTGGGATCATGTGGGATGTTTTACAGCAGTGTTAGGATTGTCCACCAGAAATCACCAAAAGCATCAGGCACTTACCCAAGTCCGATGAGTGAGAATCACTCCCTGGGGAAAAAAGGACACAGCAATAATAAGCAACATGGCTGAGTGTTCCTTACATTCATCTCTGTAACAAACTCCAATATACACCTACTGTGCAAACATTTTTAAAAAGCTCTTAAACATCAAGATACAATTCACACCTAATTACCAAGAACTGCTTCTACTGCATTTTTAACAGCTAATGATTTTCCCCCCTGCATGCTACAACGTGTGTGTGGGTTTCCTCTTGAGGTTGCTTTCCCGTCAGCTTAAAGGATAGAGACAGAAAACTCATTCTTGAAGCAATTTTCACGCTTCACGCTGTAACAGGAGCATCATCTAAAGCAAACGTTAAAATCCACTATGAGCCACTTCAAGAAAGGCAAGTTGGAGCTTTAGGAAAATATGTGAGATAACCTAAAAATGTCTTTGAGTGAACTTGAAATTATCTAAAAGGAAATCAAAGAAATCGAGAGTCTATAGAGACAGTTATCAAACTGTAATATCAAAATCTATGCCAAAATGATTTTTTTCTGCATTTCAAACTCCTGGCATAAAAAAATATCAGCATTTGCTTCAGTGACTGAACTTGCTTCCTATGACTAAAAATACAATCAAATAACTGTAATCTAATTTAACACTGAACTCACAAACAATAGTACTCTGTGGTGAATCTAGTGTAACAGTAACGATGCCATTTTCTGTACACAGAGTATCTGAGGATAATTTAGCTTAGGTCAAGGAAACAGTGTAATGCCTAACCAAAAAAAGAAACATATATTAAAAAAAAACCTTTAAAAACATTAAGGTAATATACACATAGACAGGGAGAAGACATTGTGGGATGTGAGAACATAATATCACTTCTACAAAGAAGAAGCAAAAGAATAACAGCACATAGATACAAATATGACGAATGAGTGAAGGAAGCAAAAGAAGGAAATGAACAAAAGGACATGAAAGAATTACACAATGAACTGATTAGGAAAAAATAGCATCCCACAATCCAAACATTGCTTAAGCATACCGAGGCAGCCACAGCCTATTTCAAAGTATTTCAAATGTGTTCAAGCCATAACAGGATTTTCAACAACAACAAGCCACTTAGATGTACCTCATGTCCTTGACCGATAGTTTGGCTCAGCCAACACTTGCAGCGGCCTTTTATTTGGGTTATTTTGGGAAATAGTTATGTTCATTTGTATGTTTGTGAGTGTTAGTACCTGTGGCTAGATTTGGTGAGCTCTGGACCCTCTTCATGGGAGAGAGCATGAGTGACAAGGCCACACATTTGCGAGCATATCCTCCGCTATCTGAGAAATCACAGCCAGGCAGATGATCATAGAAGCAAAAGCTGAAGCATACATGCACATGCTTGTGCGCATACTGCCATAAACAAATGCATTCAGCCGGAGAGATAATAATTACAGTAACAATATTGCAAACAAAGGCAGATTTGGAGGCAAAGCACATGCATTTCATGTAGCTGATTTTTACTGGCGCTCAATAGAAAATTAGGAAAAAGCTGTGCAAACACGAGAACTGCAAAAGTGAACAAATCAAAGTCAATATGATTTACTGCATTAGCTTCCACTAACCTAAATATTTACAAGAGATAAAGTGAGACATTAGTTGTTTTTAAATCAACGTGATTCTGAACTGGGTTATTACCAAAAAATAAATTAAAAAAAAATCCCAAACTAATGATTTTATGATCATGACATGACGACAGGCAGAAATGTAAAACATGCTCTTTCTTGTTATATTTCTCCCATTTTTCTCATAGATGAATCAATTTTACACTTATAACCTGAAGTCTTATATAAGACACTGTTTTGTAGTAAAAGTTTCATGTATGCTCATCACCGTCATGACTGATAAACCCACATGACAAAATTATTTTAACTTTTCCAAACAAAAGCAAGACATGGATCGGACAGGTGGAAGGGGGACTTCCCAACGATCCTGTAAACGCTGCACTCTGTACTTGTTTTTGGATATATACTGTACCTGTATTCATATTGAAGAGCACTTCTTACTGATCGGCAGCAGGGGTACACACTTTCCTAAAAAACAAAACAAAATACAAAGTATTTTAGAAAGAGATTTAAACTGTTTGAATAGAGTTTCAAATCCAAGACCTCAAATAGATCTTCTTGAGGGTAAAACCTCAAAAGCAGATTTTGGAGATTCCAGTGTTAAAACACAAAACTGTAGCGAGGTACCTGCTTTACTGCAACCAAGCATATGACGGTGATTAGTTTTTAGTGTGCTCACTAATTTGGCTTTTTTTCCATTCTGAGAAATGATGGCAGGCTGGGTGCATGATAGTATTTTGTAAACATGGAATAGATCATTTTTCACTGAGAAACAGCAATAAATGATTTCTAAAAAACGATATAAACGATATAAACTATTGGATATACGAGTGACAGGAAAAGGACACAAATCAAAGGCAAAGAATCATTACAACTGACAAGCAAACAGCACACCTGTTTTACAAAGAAACAAGACTCACATCGCTAACACTGCCTGATTCTGTTTAACTCTGTTTTTTTTATCTTTCTATTCTTAGAGCTGAGGAGAGAAATGCACAGATGTTTGGGCTATATGCCCCATAGCTGTATGTTGCCAGTTTGTTAAAAAGGATGAAACAGATTATATTCACTGACAAAACACATGTATCACCAGACATTTGTTTCAACACTGTGACAGCTTAGGGCCTCTTTGCACGCATGTGAGGTCCTGATAATTACAGCTGTCATTTACTGGTGCTTATTTGGGGGATGGTATGCAATTGTTTTCTGACATAAATGTGTAAACTGCCTTAGCAGTTGTCCCCAGTAATGAGTGGCACGAGATGGATGACCCAGCATTTTAGTACATACTGTATTAGACCATACTCACAACTCCAGTCTTAACAAGGAGATAAATACAAAATAGTTTTAATGACAGACTAAGTTTGAAGTAACTAAGAAACATTTATTGCTGCTAACTATACAAGTAACTACAGCACCAGCCTCTCAGAACCATTTCATTTACAACTAAGTAGTTTATGTACACATAACAAACAAAAGACAAAAAACATGCAGCTACAACCATTAACTTGTAATACAAAACATAGTGAAACACATCTACCATCACAGGGACTTTATTTTCCTGTCAGCAGATTCTATTTGTTTGCTTGTAATGGTTTTAAGAAATGCACAAGGTGTGATGAAACTGTCTTGGGCCCCAGTCACACAGAGCTCATTCGGGGCTAAAGACCATCAGGAAACTACCCGCCATGAGGGAAAAATCTATAATCCCTGATCGGTTAGGAGACAGTTGCTAGCATCTGCTGTGAAATCAATTGACGCAGGCGTAGAGACTGGAGACCCCTGGTAACCACTAGTCACTAGGGAAAAGTGTGTTGTGGGAGCCTGTTGACAGTCGATTTGGTTGCAGGGTTATACAGTGCTGCACGACAAACCTTCTTGTGATTGCTTTGGTTCCCAATTGAAGACACAGAATCTTCTACAAATAGTAACAAACTACTTGCTAAGCAATAGTAAAACTAAGAAGTGTGATGCAAACGGGGGATGGAGACTACTTTCCTTCATAGTAAATGTTTTGAAACGTGTTGGTTGCAGCAGTTATGAACAACTTTTACTATGAAGGCAAACATTCTTTGTTTCCAGATTGTGTTGGACTTTGAAAAGTTTCTCAGCTTGGAGAGTAGACGGCGAGTGTTTGTAGATGAGGGGCATCTGTGCAACAGCCTCTTTTCAACTGATTTTTATCAGGCATCAGCCAGATGCCTCCAGCCAACACTGGGGGAATAGACTACAGCAACCAGAGGTTGCCAGGGGGTTGCCAAATGGCCCAAGCCAGTGTGACTGAGGCCTTACCTGATTTGGCCAGTCACCCAATAAGGTTGTCCTTTTAGATCACCCTTTTGGCCTGATAATGCTCCTCACTTGACTGTAAGGAGCATCATCATTGATGAGAACAGCGATGCAGAAGCAGTTTTCAGCTGCATCATATCCTCGACCCCAAGGCTGAGACCGTCAGCTGTACTATAACTGTGTTTTCTAGCCACACAAACACAACCTTCACTCACCACCTGGACTAGGTGCCAATCTTTGCTGCCTGCAACTTCAACCACTTTCCAAAATTCAAAATCAAGCTGAAGGGTAGTCACTTTGATAATGGGGGAGATTCAGCATGCACTGCAGAGGCACAAGTGCAAAAGGATAAAATGTAGCAGGTACACAGTGAGCTCAAAATGCTCGAGAGGTGTGTAACAAGTTGAGGTGGGCCAAATATAAATCAGGTAAGGGTTTTTATTTTGGCCACAGATCTTTATTATCATAACTTATAGATATTTTGCCCTGGCTTTGAGATTTTGAGTGCTGAATCTTTTATCACTTACAGTTACACAATATTATTTTTACTACACTTTCCTCTGCTCAGCCCTGTGTCCATCTGCTTCAGAGCAGGGTAGACCCACAGTAAAGCAGTTATATAAGCAAACTCACCCTGAGATGGAACGAAACAAGAGTACATTAAATAGATAAATTAAATTACAAGAGGTATCCTGCTTATCACCCAATAAGAGATGGGATCAGCATGTTTTTCATCATGAAGTAACGTTTACTGACAAATTCTTTTTTAATCTGTATTCTTCTTGACATAACCTTCAAGCACCATGTCTTTGATTAGTTTATCCATATTCACTGCTTCATTCTTCCAAACACAGCTAATTTTGGTTGGCAAATAAAATCCTAATATTTGTGGGAGTGCATGAAGACAACATGGGATACTTTCTGTCCCTCAAGACCTAATCCTCACCCTCATACCCTGTGTCCTCATAAATCTTGCTCTCAGAAACAAGCACACACACACACACACACACACACACACACACACACACACACACACA